CCCCCCCCCCCCCGGCTACATGCCTGCCAAGACATCTCCATCCTACTCAGGGTTGAATGTAGCCCATGCATTCTGCTGAAAGAATGCATGTGCTACATATGAAAATTAGCAATAGAACATCGCAAGATGGGGAAGATCATCACAGTCAGCCGTTCCCAGTTATCCCACACTCCTAATAGATTTTTTTCTTTTTTTATACTTCTTTTCCAAATTTGGCTACATGCCACTTACGTTTGCTCCATTACTTTTTAGGTCAGAAACTGAAATTGAAGGTTATGAAAAAATTGAGCGCAATGTTGCATTAGCAGCACTTTACTAGTTGATTCCAGACACCTTAAAACATCTTAATATTTTAAATATTTTAAAAAGTCAACTAGGAATTCTTTGGAAAAATGCACATAATAAAGGATATCTGCCTTGTATGGAAACTGAATTTATAAGCATAGAAATGATAGCTATTTCACATAAAGTAGATGTCAAAAGCATATATTTATCTGAATCAACTTATTTGCAGATTATGTTTTTATAATAGGTTTACTTATTGTTGCTTGCTTCTAGGATGTGGAAATTAGAAATCCAGATTACCTCTGCCATGAAAGTTTTCCCTCATCCATCCTTTGTCTATTCTGCTAAATACCACCCAACAGCTGAGTATATCATAGTGACAGGATGTTATGATGCAGTGATAAGAGTTTGGAACGCAAAAGTGAAGGAAATACATGGACAGCTTGTACAAGAGTTTGATGGCCACAGAGGATTTATCAATACATTATGTTTTGATGCAGAAGGTATGCATCAGTTACCCATTTCATAGTGAGACACTGTAGCTAATGATTTCTACCTTGTAATCTGTGAGGTGTCATGTTAGAGTTGCCATTTTGTAAAGTAATTTAGGGGTCATTTTTGGGATTGGGAAGGACCATGTTTGGTTTTGGTTTGGTTTGTGTGTGTTTAATTTTTTTAGAAATGTAAAGGTAATAGCCACATTTTGTGAACGTGCAAGTTTTCTGCTCTTTCTTCTTCGTAGTCTCTGTGAATTACACATATGGGACTTTCTGTGCATGGGCATTCTGTTCAGAATCTCCTAGAAGCTCTAGGACACATTTTGGCAGCATCCCAGCCCAGACTCCCAATGAAGGTATCTAGCCAGTGGGAAGGGCTGTAAGCCTCGGCTGTTACATCAATACCTCCTTCTTCCAGTGGCCGTTTTTACTGTGCCAGTGCCACAGGAACTTTCTTGCCCCGCTCTCCTGCTGGAGTTAGAAGTTGCGCACTATGGAGTTGCGCACTATGGCGCAAACCGCTCCGTCAGACTCCCAGCCCCCACCATCGGCTGATGAGCACCAGACCGGCACCCCACCTGTGTTGGAGTTCTCAGCGGAGGCAGGAAACAGCACCTTGGGCCCTTCCTTGGCTCTGTTGCCCTCCTACAGAGCGAGGACTGAGTTTCCCTGCTTGGAGAGCTCTAAACCGAGATTGTGTGGGCGTTCTACCTTCCAATGATCATATCATATTTAAAATACTGCAGTATTCTTACTACTCAGAATTGAGAGATGGGTCACCTGCAACACCATAGTGGACCTCCAAGTTATGTAGCCCCTCCCAAGGCACTTTATATTACTGGGGGTCCTCACCCTGAGACCAGGGTTTTTTGTTATCACTCCCCTCCTTACTATAAGGAAAGGGAACTTAGAGGCTTCGAATTTGGCGTTGCAAGTGGCGCAGTCCTCTATGCAAGTGGCTGCTGCATCTGCACCCCCCTCCCTGCACCAGCTGATGAGTCTGACAAAGATTCTGATTCATCCAACGATATGCATGAGACTTCCCCATCTGTGGCCCTGGCTGAGACTGAGCTACCCTCAACTGATGAATTCAATAATTTCACAGCACTGGTGGTGTGCCTAGCATGTGCCTTAAACTTACCTACGGCACAACCACCAGCTCCTGTGGATAATACTGTATTCCCTTCAGAATAGCAGTATGCTCCAGTTCCTATGATACTGCCCCTGCTACCCTATCTTCTCCAGTTGACTAGATTTCCAAATCTCGCCCCAGCTTCATCCTGGCAGTGTCAAAGCAAATTGATAGTCTATATCATGCTAATTTGGCATCAGCAGAAACCACACAAGCCCAACTCTGTGCATAGAGGACCAGGCTACTTGCAGAGCCAAATTCGAAGCAATTTCCTGTAATACTGAATTTGGTGCAGTCAGTGTGGGTAGGTGGCCCCAATGACACTCCTCATCGCCAGGATACAATGGCCAAAAATAGTAGAAGGTGCCTCGAGGCGAGCGGTGACAGTAGTCCTGGTAATCAGGGACATAATAAGGACCTCTGAATTCCAAACTGACTGTGCAGAAAATCCCATATGTGTGAATTTCACAGATGACCACTCGAAGAAACATGGTTACAGGTACGCAACCCTTTCTTGTGCGGCATATTTCAAAATAAAAAGTGAACATTTCATTGTTTTGTTATTTTGTAAAAGATCTGTGTGGGTCTTTTGGGAAGTGTCATCTTTGTGCAAACACATCCCAATTTTGAGGGGTGGATAAATTAGATTACAAAAGATTCACTGATTTTACAAACAGATTTTTTATTTTCCCTTTTCACATTGGTTGTAAAAGTTTTATGTGTATGTGTGTGTTTGCTATTCCTACAACTGGTGGGAAGAAATATTAGGCGGGTGAAGTGGAATACAAAATCTCTAAAGGAATGGAGAAAAAGGATTGGAGGAAAATGAATTTTTTTAAATAATTTTTATTGTGCATTTTAATATTTACAACAAGACTGAGTGAAACATAACTTCATAGACATTGAAAACATCCAAAACATCAAAAACATCGTAGACATCAAAACATCAAAAACATCCAAACATCAAAGCATCAAAACCATGGTCGCACAATCATCCCAAACACCCAAGACATAACATCACCACCACCATCTCCCACCATTACATTAATAGAGTGAAGGCACTTCCCAAAGTCTTCTGTGGATTAATTAACTTTTGGATTATCTTAAAACGATTCGTTCTAATCTTCTCATGATCACTCAAGTTGATTTCCCTTGGTTCACAGGTTAGACAAATCTATCAAAACTGGAATCTTTCTGGATTTAATAAAGTCTCTTTCTTGTGCGGCAGTCTGTTTTTTTTTCGGGTGTTGTTTAGTTTTTGAGTTAGACTGTCAATTTGTACTAGATCAAATACCTTGATTATCCAGTCTTCCACTATGGGGACTTCTTCTTGCTTCCACAGTCTTGCAAGTTGTAGTCTCGCTGCGGTACTAAGTAGAAAGAGCATCTTATCTTGGTTTTTGGTTAGCGTTGCTTCAGATACACCTAATAGATAGGTCTCTGGTTTTAGGGGGAAGCTAGCTTTTAGAATTTTTTGGGTCAGAGAGTGAATTTCCTTCCAATATTTTTTGATTCGTTTGCATGACCACCATGCATGAATGAAGGTCCCTTTTTCTTCCTTACATTTCCAGCAGGTGCTGGATATCCCTTTGTTAAATTTGGCAAGTTTTTCAGGGGTATAATACCAGCGGTATAGCATTTTATACCAATTTTCTTTTAGATCATTGGCTGCCGTGTATTTTAATTTTTTGTTCCAAATTTCTTTCCATTGGTCGGTATGTATACTATGCCCTATATCTTTTGCCCATTGTATTTGGCAGTTTTTAATTTGTTCCTCTTCTGTGTTTTTGGTATATGATTTTAATCAATTTTTTATCCTTATGTAGAATTGAATCCCAAAATCCCTCCTCCTGATTAAAGCCTATTTTATCATAAAAATAAAATAAAAAAATTGGTAAAAGAGAAAAATGAAATTTTACCGGATTTTCATTTTTGGGTGTATTTTCTTTACAATTGTTAAATGGTTTGAATGTTAGAACAGCTCTTTCATCACTGTAAGTGAATATATTATTATTTTCTAGGATTTCACATGTTTTCTGGAGACAGCACAGGACTAATAATTGTCTGGAATACTTATGTCAAAGAAAGTTCTCAATCATCAGTCCAGCATTGGGGAATTGATAAGGTCTGTTATATGTTCTTAACAACTTTGTAATTTTTATGCAAACAATAGAGATTTTAAAACATAAAGACAAAGTGGCTTCAGAGTTAGTAAATACATAGCTATGATTAGGGATGCTTGTAGGTTAATTTCATAGTAACAGCACTAAAATAATAGAATTAGGTAAAAAAAGTTTGCTGTCTTATTCTTACACTGTTAAAACTTAGCTAGCATAAATTTACTTACACATTTGTTTGTTTATATCTAGTGTCTAATAATTTATTTGTAATATAGTTTAAAGCATCTCTGTTTTCCTGTTTTGGTAGCATATCTTATAATTTGTCATTAATAACCTTTCAATGTGGCTTTAAATTTTTGATTTTCATTTGGCCCCTGATATTCTAAGAATCTAGTCTGTATGAATTTTAATACCATTGCTAAAAATAACCTGCTTACTATGACTGAAAAGGGATACAGTTGTACTAGAACAGTTTAAGATCAAGGGTTTGGGCACATCTACACACACCGCTGATACAAGAAAATACTGTAATTTTGGAGCTTTTTACTTTAGAAAAATTGTTAATGTGATTGGGAAGAAAATGAAAGAACCTTATAACATATTCATGAGGGTATTTATCCCTCCCATCACAATTCTGTGACTCAAAGTCATCCAGTGAAATGGCATCCAGTGAAATGGCATGGTATGTAGATGCATCTTCACACAACTCAAGGTAGGATTAGGAAGCCAGCTCTTTGGCTGGCTTCCCTCCCAACAACCATCAAGTAAACCATGGATTAATTATCAAGTGAGAGATGTATAATAACTGGTAGCTTCCATTTCAGTGGAGTTGGTAAAGTGACCCTGGGTTTTAGTTTGAACTTCAAAGGAGAGACAAGGTGAAGCTGCTGTAATCACATCCTCTTTAGTGGACTTTTCCTAGATATCTAGAAAATAGACTTTGGTCTAATCAAACAGGCCTCTTCACATTCATATGAACATACCGAATTCCATCCACATTTTAATACTCATTTTATGTATTTATTTGTTTCTTGATTTTTTTGTACTTATAGGAAATAAAAGATGATGATATTAAAGAAATAGCAGTAAATCATTTGCAAGTACATCCAAATGGAAGACGTTTACTTATCCATGCCAAAGACAGTACTATAAGAATCATGGATCTACGAATGTAAGTATCTTGAAGTGGTTTGGTTTTGAATTACAAAATTAATAGTAACTGTCATCTTTCTTATTTTCATAAACCGATAGGAGTACCTTTCCAGCCCCTGAATGTTCTTCAGAAGAAACAACAATCTACAGCAGGGGTAGGGAATGTGTAACTCTCCAGTTGTGGTTGGAGTACAGCTCCCATTTGCCTTAGCCAATGGAGGTGTTTATGAAAGTGCTAATATATAATGAATGAGAACATCTGGAATGCCACACATTCCCTGTTGTAGATATAGAAATTTCATTTTAAGGGGGGAGGAGACCTCAGAATCATCTCTGTCTTGTGAGATGGTAGGCAGACTTTCATATTATGATAAAGGAAGAATTATCTAACTGTGCTTTGCTTTTTGTAGTTTTTTTTAACATTTATAGAATCATAGAATCATAGAGTTGGAAGAGACCTCATGGGCCATCCAGTCCAACCCCCTTGCAATCTTGACAGCATAAAGTTGTATATCTTCACAGCATAAGGTTGTATGGATGGAATTTCTCATATTGCTGTGAGCAATTCCTCCAGTAATACAAAATCATTTAGGGTGGCTTGGTCTTGAAAAGGAAATGTAGATCTGCAGAAAATGGAAAAGGAAATGTAGATCTCCTGTACGAAAAGGATGTGCTGTTCCATTATAACCGAGTCTCACAAAAATTTAATATGTAGATTTGATAAATGTTAATTTAATGTGTGGGTATGAATGGAGTTGAATGAAAGAAATGAGTGAATGAGAGTTAATAATTTTCAAAACACCAGTAACATATTAAGAACTGCAATGACTAATACCTGCTTGAGGGACTATAATTAAAAGTTGCTAATGAGACCTGCCATAGTAAACTGGGATAAGAACTGTGAGAATGGTTGTTTTAACTTCAGGAAATGTTTAGAATCATAGAATCATAGAATCAAAGAGTTGGAAGAGACCTCATGGGCCATCCAGTCCAACCCCCTGCCAAGAAGCAGGAATATTTCTGACAGATGGCCATCCCTGACAGATGGCCATCCAGCCTCTGTTTAAAAGCCTCCAAAGAAGGAGCCTCCACCACACTCTGGGGCAGAGAGTTCCACTGCTGAACAGCTCTCACAGTCAGGAAGCTCCTCCTCGTGTCCAGGGAAGCAGAAAACAAGCTTGCTCCCTCCTCCCTGTGACTTCCTCTCACATATTTATGCATGGCTATCACATCTCCTCTCAGCCTTCTCTTCTTCAGGCTAAACATGCCCAGCTCCTTAAGCCACTGGACACATTCCAGCTTGTTAATATCTCTTTTCAATTGTGGTGCCCAGAATTGGACACAATATTCCAGGTGTGGTCTAACCAAGGCGGAATAGAGGGGTAGCATTACTTCCCTAGATTTAGACACTATGCTCCTATTGATGCAGGCCAAAATTCCATTGGCTTTTTTTGCCACCACATCACATTGTTGGCTCATGTTTAACTGTTGTCCACAAGGACTCCAAGATCTTTTTCACGCATACTGCTCTCGAGCCAGGTGTCCCCCATTCTGTATCATGCTTGTCCTTATTTTTCCTATGCGAAACAGCCAGAATATTAGATGCTTTACTAATTGGGGAGTTCCTTTGATTTCTGTGATTTTATTTGCCTTTCTCTGTATCTTTTCCTGAATTTTTGCTATCTTTTTCAGGTGTAGTGCTTACTGTAATTCAGGGTCATTTTTGCATAGCTTTAAAAACTTCAGTCATCATTCAGATTTTTGGTAGGAGAATCTGTTGCTCACATCCTTCTACAGGAAGAACTATTTACTCTTATTCATAAATGGCTTTGGGAAATCTTCTGTTTGATATTTTGTTTTCATGTGTGATATAAAAGGTTGGATTTTTCATTTAATTTTAGTTGTTAAGTTATAATTTGCTTTTATATGTTGGGTTGTCAATTTTCATTATTATCTGTGTATTGTTGTTTGTCCAGGTATTGAATGTTTGCCTTTCATTATTGGAATCCACCCTGAGTCTCTTGGGAAGATAGGGCAAAGTATAAATAAAGATTTATTATGATTATGACGATTATGATGATTATCATTATCTTACTGTGTTTTGTACTTTGAGCAATATAGGATCTATATTACTGCAATATGGACTCTAGCAGACAGTTTGCAAGTTGCAGGTGGTATATTATAGCTGAATTTTCAATGAGGAGGGCCTCTTTTTTCCTTTTAATATTATAGCACTATTTGTTTTCAAGTCAGGTTGACAGAGACACATTATGGGTGATTAAATAGCAATATTAAGCCCCTTTAAGTGACAATTTTTTTAAAATAATAATAATAATAATAATAATAATAATGAGATGAGCAGTTATTGCAGGTCCATGTGTAGTTTACTTTATTGCAAGGTGGCATTTTTTCTGCACACTTAATAAACACTTTCTTATTTTGATCTGGATGCAAGAACAAAAAGAATAATAGGCTCCTTCCACAAAGCTGAATAAATTCTCACATTATCTGCTTTGAATTGGAATATATGGCAGTGTGGACTCTGATAACACAATCCAAAATAGATATTGTGGGATTTTCTGCCTTGAAATTCCGGGTTATATGACTGTGTGGAAAGGCCCAATGAATCACAGAACTGGAAGAGACCACATGGGCCATCTAGTCCAACCTTCTTCCAAGCAGGAAAAACACAAAGTACCCCTGAGAGATGGCCAGATTCAGATGACATCATAATACTGTTCAGTGATTATATATTGTATATAGGGACTTTCAAATGAAAGTTTTGCAAAACAGGGCAACAAAATTTGTGTTATTGGCTCTAGATAGATAGATATTGCGTAAAACACAGGAAAAAGAAACAAAACCTCAAATTACATCTCAGCATTTGAAAATTCACATTTGTATTACAGTGAAAACTCTTATACTTGTTGACAACTTTTCTATTGAGTATCTCACAGTGATGTATTTACCCTTGTCAAAAACAAGACAATTTCAATTTTTCTTTATATTATTATTTTTATTATTATGTTTATTTATATCCCACAATTGCTTTCAACCCAGAAGAGGCATTTCCTTAACAAGGAAGTAAACCAGAACTCAGTTTCAAGTTTACTTCATAACTAATGAAAGGTCTCATATAGGCTGAAATCTGCACATAGGGTTCAAAATGTGACAGAATCCACCACACACTTTTAAGTAAAAAGTAAATAATTTTTTTAAGTTGTTAGGCAAAAACTGCAGAGGATTGAAGGCCCTGAGGTCTCCACTTTGCCTAGCTTGTTCTAGGCATTACTTGAACTCAGAGCTAACAGCATCCTATTCTCTTAACAACTGATTCTGTATTAATTTTGCTTCTAGTTTGAATTTTCCTCTGTTTCATGATTCTGAGGGAAGGTCATTTCAGAGATCTAGAAATGTTGTTTAGCTTCATCCTGAAGTGAATTCTTATGTTGAAGTTCAGCTGATAACTTCAGGTTTGGATAACTTTGCATATATTTAAGAATCTCTGAGGGAAAATAATTAAAAATGTGTATTGTTATAATAGAAACAGTTGCTGAATTCTGAAACCTTTTTAACAAACTCTTTTAGCCTGGCCACAAAGAAATACATAGGTGCTACCAACTATCGAGAGAGAATTTGCAGTGCCTTAACACCATGTGGAACATTCCTTTTTTCTGGAAGTGAAGATGGGAAAGCATATGTCTGGAATGCAGAAACAGGTACATGAATTTGTTGCGTTAAATTTCTGGGAAAGTTAGGTAGTCTTTTCATGTACATAATAACTTATATTTTAAAATGGCTTTTGTGATGACTGTGCTTGGGAGAGGTGTTCTTCAATACATTTTCAATCAGCCCATGGCTTGAAAATATTTTTTTAATCCAAAAAGCAAAGTTAGATTTTTGCACTTTCCATAAGGGACCAATTTCTTGCATGATTATAAGTAATGGGACTTGAATGTCTACAGATTCTGATTGGGTGGCGTGTTGAAGCCAAATCCCGATGGATACCAAGTGCATAGTAGTCACATTTTTACTGTGTGTGTGTCTCTCAGTATCTCCCTTAATGTGTGTATCTCTATTCCATTCCACTCCCAGACACCATCTTTTTCATTTATATTACTGTACTTTCATTTTTTGATTAAAATGTTTGTTTTTGCACCTGATTCAAATGCAAATAAATATATCTTAATATGCATTGAATGAAAAATATGGAGCAGAATAGATTTAAATGCTGAATAATTTCTAGTGAAAAAAAGCAAAACAGAAAAAAGGTATGGTTTCTTGGTTTTTGTTAGCTGCCATCAAGTAGACTTCTACTTATAGTGACCTCCAAATCACTTTATTATCAATAACCCTGCTCAGGTCTTGCATACCCAGGGCTGTAGCTTTTTTTGACTGAGTCTATCCATTTGGAATGTGGTCTTTCTCTTTTCCTACTGCCTTTTACATTACCAAGCAATGTTGTCTTCTCTAGTAAGTCATGTCTTCTAATGATCCAAGTGCGACAGTCTCAATTTAGTCATCTTGGCTTCTAGGGAGAGTTCAGGCTTAGAGTTTAAGCTTGAGTTGCTTTTTGTTGTTGTTGTGTGCTTTCAAGTCTTTTATAACCTATAGAGACCCTAAGGGAAACCTATCACAAAGTTTTATTGGCAAGATCTGTTTATAGAAGTTTCTCAGGTCTTGCCTCTGAGGCTAAGAGAGTATGGCTTGTTCAAGGTCACTCAGTGGGTTTCATGGTCCAACAGGGATACAAACCATGATTCCAGAGTTGTAGTCCAGTGCCCAAATCAGAACACAATGCTTGCTTTAAGACCCGTTTATTTGTCCTTTGAGCAGTCCACAGTATCCATAGATCACATTTCAAATGAGTCGATTTTCTTCTTGTGAGCTCTCTTCACTGTCCAGCTTTCACAACCATCCATAGAAATGGTAGGTTACATACCTGTGACCATCTTTCTTCGAGTGGTGCTCTGCGAATTCACACTTGTGGAGAGACTGCGCCTGCGCGGGCTCCAACGGAAACTTCTACATTTTAAACTTTTCAAGTTTTGGCGGTAACCCCGCCCAGCCCCGGCAGGGGATAAAAGGGCGCCCCGCGCACACCGATCCAATTCCTACGCCGCTACGGTAGCGAGAAATTGGAGGTTTGCTTGAGGGGAGGCTGGGCGGGTTAGTGTGAATTCGCAGAGCACCACTCGAAGAAAGATGGTCACAGGTATGTAACCTACCATTTTTCTTCGTGGTCTCTGCGAATGCACACTTG